AGTGTGATCAGTCGGAATACCTCAGCTCATGAGATCATAAAGCATCTTGGAATAATAATAGTAGCTCTCGTCTGTTGTCTCTCTTATCTGAATCCCTCTCTGTAGCACTCCATTGCTGCCATTGCTCTGATCGCTTCACTGGCGCTGTGCGCCGCTGACGTCTCTCATTTGCCCCTCTCCCGGAGCTACTTGCCTCCGCTCAGTGGTGCCGGCGGCTACTCGGCGTACTCTTCTTATCCCTCGTATACGGGCAACTCCTACTCCGGTGGTGCCTACTACCCGGGCTCCCGCATCGGCTCTGGCTACAACTCCGGCTACAGGTCCGGCCTAGGCTCCGGCTATGCTGCTCCGCTGGTCACCTCTGGCTACAACAGCTATGCAGCTGTGCCACAGTATAATACCTATGCCACGCCCACACGCAACTATCTGCCAGCCCTGGCTGGATACTCCGGCTCTGGCTTAGCTGGCTCCGGCTACAGCGGCCTGGACACTAAATACGCCTCCAATGGTGGCTATATCTATTAGGAGACGATCTCAGGCTTTGCTGGCGTTTCCTTGCCTAATCTTAGTATTTACATTTGGCGAATAAATAGTATCTCTGATTAAATGCAATTTAATTGTAGATTATTTTAAGTGCGTATAACGGTAAAGGCACTGCTTGTAAAACATAAATTGTACAAATATAAATACATATATAAATATATAACACGCGTAAGTGCAGACAACATTTAGACAACTAATAGTTAACAATTTCTGGGGGGTGATTGGGGGCAGAGATGAGGATCACTTATGGTACAAGTCGTGCATGCACATCATCGCTTGCGTCATCTCCGCCGTAGGGCCCGGCTGAGAAGGCATCATCACCAGAGCCTGGTACCAGGGCATTCGAACCTCGGCGTTCTCCTCCCCGTTCGTTGACCAGCGAATGTATTCGGCTCGACTAATTCATTGAATGAGACGGAAATAACGGACATTAGTATTCGTATTATATTCTTATACATATATATAAATCTTCGCACTCACTCTTGTGTTTTCGAGCGGAACTTGCGTAGCCATTTCGCTGCTCTGTGCTTGCCTTTGCTGCAGGAATCTCTGCAGGATTTTGGGTACACCGAACTGAAGGGGTTCACGCTCGGCCGTATAGGGAGCTGTGTCTGTCGCTGTGGTGTGGGTGTGTGTGCTGATGCCTCTGCTGCTGGAGCTGCTGCCGGTGTCGCATACCATGTCCACTTCGTTGCCGTCTTCCCGGAGCGACTTGTCGCCAAGCGTTGCCAGAGGATTCTGGAAATGCAGGTTAATATTGAGATCGCGATGTCCGCGCTGCCGCCGTTGATAGAACATGTACCCAATGCCGGTGGCGGCAACTGCCATCAACAGTAGCGCGGCCAGCAGCCAGACACCTCGACCCTCCCCATCATCGCTGCTGTCCGAGCGCTGCTCGCTGGAGACCAGCCAATTCATGTCGATCTCGTTCGTGCTGCCGTGCGGACACTGCTGGGTCTCCGGGACGACAGCATTGCCGCACATGCACTCGTACCCGTAGTCGGCCAGGACACACATGCCGGCGCAGTGGGCATGCTGGCAGGGATTGGCTGGGGCTAGAGGCTGTCGCGACACTCCCGCTACAATGATGTCCTGGGCATTCATCACGTTCAGATTGATGGCCTTGCAGTTGCGCTGGCCGTACAGTTGACAGCGCACCGCCTCCCTGGCGCCCATATTGACAATGTAGGCGTGGTTCTCGTAGATGCTCAGTCCGGTGGGCTGCATCAGAGCGTTGCTCTTCTGCAGCAGCACATAGCTCTGCCTCTGCTTGGCACCGCCACGCCCCCCATAGCTGATCATCTCCAGGGTGCGGCTGTGCAGATCCACAAAGTAGAGCATCTGCAGGTGGGGATCTGTTGCCAGGGCGGTCACATAGCTGCGATGCTTGCCCAGCAGCAGCTCCCGCCGGCTGCCGTCCAGGCGCGCCATGTGGATCTGGGAAATGTGCAGTCCGAAGGTTTCACTGCGTATGGCCACGTAGAAGAGACGCCCCAGGTGCGCATCCACGGCCAGGGCCTTCAGACTGAACCGGGCCGTCATGTGCAGTATCTGGCCACACATCTTGGCCCGGAAGCTGCACACACTGATCTGCTGCGGCGCACTGCCGCTGATCACGTACACGTTGCCCGTCGTCCACTCCACGGCCATTTTGCTGGGCGCGCGCAGCGAGAGAGCGGCCATGCGCGTGCGGTCCCGCATGTCCACGCGGTAGATGATGTTCTCCTCCTCGCTGCTGAAGTAGCCCAGCTTACGGCGCATGTCCACGTCGAAGCCGCTGATGCGCGAATCGTTCGCTGACCAGGCCACCGTCAGCATCACCGGCTGCTCACTGAGATTGCGCACCTCGTTGTAGCTGGTGAAGAGTAGAGTCGCCCCGGACTGTATGCTCTTGCAGCTGCTGCGATCTTGGCGCAGCATGAAATCCGCATGGCACTGGCACTGATAGCTGCCCGGCGTATTCTCGCACAGCTGCGCGCACGGCTGCTGCTCCGGCGAGACGGCGCACTCGTCAATGTCCACGCAGCTGCGCTGATCGCTCTGCAGCCGATAGCCCTCCAAGCAGGTGCACACGGCGCCTGCCGGCGTCGCCTGGCACTTGTGCTGGCAGAGCGGCCTCATGCAGGCGCTGCCGCACTGCGGGCCCTCGTCGTTGCCATTGGTGCAGTCATCGAAGCCGTTGCAGACACGCGACATGTCCACACACTCGCCATCGTGGCAGTCGAAGAGATGCGGCTTGCACGCTCGCCTCGCACTCCCACTCCCACTCTCAGCCATGGCCGTTCCGTTGCCGAGCTGCGCGTGCTGCTCGCAGTGCTCCTCGTCGCTGCCGTCGGCACAGTCGCGCTCCTTGTCGCAGCGGAACTCCTGCCGGATGCAGTGCTTGCTGTCGCGGCACTGGAACTCGTAGATGCTGCACAGCTCGCCACAGTCCGCCTCATCCTCGCCGCGCGGGCACTCGGCGGTGCCGTTGCAGCGCGCGGCCATGTCCAGACACAGCTTCAGATTGCTGCTGCACTGATACATGGGCGTGGTCAGCGTGCCGCAGCTAATGTTGGCTGCAGCAGCACCACCGTTGCCGCTGCGCCGGTCACAGTTGAGCTCGTCCGACTGATCCCCGCAGTCGTTGTGGCCGTCGCAGACGAGCCGCTCATCCAGACACTGGCCAAGCAGGCAGCGATGCATCTTCTCGGGGCACTGGCGCTGTCCGCACTTGTCGTGCTCATCGGAGGCATCGCTGCAGTCGATGCGGCCGTCGCATTCCCAGCTGCTGGATATGCACGATCCGCTGCTGCACTGGAACATGCCGTGCTCACAGCTGGCGGCCTCCTTGCAGCGCAGCTCGTCCGAGTTGTCGCCACAGTCGTTGTTGCCATCGCAGACCAGGGTGTAGTCCACGCACTTGCCGTTGTCGCACGCGTGCTGGTGGGCGTGGCAGAGCTTGGTGCGATCTGAAAGGGAGAAGGGATATATAAGACACACACATATCTATACATATCATGCATGCACATCGTATAGCATAGCAGTTGACCTACCAAACTGGGCGCAGTGCAGCTCGTCGGAGCTATCGTTGCAGTCCTTGTGGCCGTCGCAGCGCTTGTTCTTGGCCAGACAACGCTTGCCGTCATGGCAGGCGAATTCCGACAGATCACACTTCACTTTGACGCGTTTGATGCCGTCGCAGTCCGTCTCATCGGAGCCATCGGCGCAGTCCTGATGGCCGTTGCAGCGGTGCGTCATCGTCAGGCACTCGCCCGAGCTGCGACAGCGGAACTCGCAGTCCAGGGCCTCGGTGCAGCTGCGATTGGAGGCGTCGCGATACACGAAGCCGGCGGGGCACAGGCACGTGCTGTCAAACTGTCCGGCACTGACGCACACATGCGAGCATCCGCCGTTGGCGTTCTGGCAGGGATGCGGGGACTGGCCGGCGCCCAGTCGCCGACTCGCGGCCAAAGGTATGCGCACGGGCAGCATGTGACTGAGGAAGGCGGTGGCTGCTGCGGCGGCACCGTCACGGCCCATGTGCGGGTTCGCGTCGATCTCGATGCGCTTGTTGGGGCCCAGGTTGTTCTTGTGCGTCCAGTAGATGGCCGGTGAGCCGAGCTCGCTCCAAAAGAGATCCTGATCGACCAGGGCCAGGGCGTACGGTCGCCGGAACTTGCCCCGGAACGACTGCCCGTGGGTCTGGCGATAATTGCTGTAGCTGATGCGACTCGTGTCGCTGTCCGACCAGAACATGGTGCGCGTTTCATAGTCCACGGCAAACTTGATGTCATCGTCGCCCAGGTCGTCCTCAAAGACATGCGTCTGGGCGCCCTTTCCGCTCAGCGCCAAGCGATCGATGTGCGTGTGCCGGCGCGCCTTGAGCGCCACAAACATATAGCCCTCGGCTGGCATTACGGTCAGCCCGATGGGCATCTCGTCGCCGGCAAAGAAGCGCACCAGGGCACGCTGTCCGGTGCGCAGGGACAGCAGCTCAATCACGTGACGTTCCATGTCCGTCCAGTAGAGATTGTGGGCCAAGTGATCAAATGCCAAGCCGCTGATGTTTCCCAGATTGCGAGAGACCAAGGTGACCAAACGCTGCTCGTTCATGTGGGGCACATACTCGAAGATCGCGCGCTGCATGTTGTCCGCTATGAAGAGGGTGCCATTGATGCTATTGAAGGCCATCTCGCTGATGTAGCAGGGCAGGTTGTGCGAGGCGGTGACCACATGGCGGCCGAACGCGGTGTGCTCGATCTCCAGCAGTGCCTGGCGCAGTCCAATGAACAGACGATGCTTCTTCTCCGTTTGGCTGCACCGACGGCCATCGGTGGACAGTGTCATGCCCTCGGGACAGGCGCACGTGTGGCCGCCCGCGCTCGGCTCAGCGAGCAGGCAGAGATGTGAGCAGCGCGCCATTTCACAGGCATGCGGCACCTGCGGCTGCTTGGCCGGATGATAGATGTGCACGGCATAGATGGTGCGATCACGTGCCAATACCCGATGATCTTTGCCGGAGAACTTGTGGCAGGTGTGAATACTCCGGGTGCCCCAGTCCGACCAGTAGAGGTGATCCTCAAAGATGGCGAGCCCATAAGGATGCTTTAGCATACCATCGAGCACGGTTTGACGCGAGCTGCCATCCGGGTGGACACTCTGTATGCTGCCCAGCTTGGCGTCCACCCAATAGACGCGCTCCTGGTGCATGTCCAAGGCAATGCCGTTCGGCCAGTGTATATTATCCGATACAATCGGCTTGGAGTGGGTGCCATCCATGGAGGCACGGGCTATCATCGGCTTATTGCCCCAATCGGTCCAGAACATTTGACCACGCTGCGGCCACAGTGCCAGGCTGCGTGGCTGATGCACATCCTCGGTGACCAGCACCACACAGTTAAGTCCATCGTTCGAGCAGACCGCAATGTGTCGCATGACATTGTCCGAGAAATATATGTTGTGCGTCAGCCAATCGACGGCCAAATCCTCGGGAGCGTCTAGGCCGGATGTGAGCAAGATTTCGGCCATGGAGCCGTCGGCATGCGCGCGCACAATGCTCTCGGCCTCATTCTGTATGTTGGTCCAGTAGATGTACTTGCCATCGAAAGCCACACCAATCACCTTGGTCAAATTGGTGGCCACACTGATGACGTGATGTCGCTCCTTTGACTGCGGCGCTAGGTGCATGCCCATCACAGTCACTTGGGTGGTGTAGAGGAGTAGTGGGGACTGCTTCTCACCGCCAATGCTAGTGGCGTGACAGGTGCGATTGTTGGTGGGATCTAGCTCGTAGCCTGCATCACAGGCGCAGCGATAGCCACCGGATGTGTTCTCACAGCGCTGACTGCACAGATCCTGTTGCTCCTGGCACTCGTTAATGTCCCCGCACTTATTCTGAAACTTGAGCAGCCGAAAGCCTTTGGGGCAATAGCATTCTGGACCGCTGGTGGGCATCATGTGACAAGTGGCGTTGAGCGGGCACTCCTTGCTGCTGCAGCCGGGCTTCACATTGCAGCTCTCGCTCTCATCGCTGCCATCCGAGCAGTTGGGCTGACCGTCGCACACCTGAGCGAGCGACAGGCAGCTGCCATGATTGCGACACATAAACTTGCCCATAGACGGTTGACACAGATCCTCTGCAAAGTTAAGTTCACAATGCTAAAGCATTCAATTGACCAAATCACGTCGAGCATACACTTACCACAGTCCTTCTCATCACTGCCATCGCCGCAATCGTCGACGCCGTCGCAGACCCACTGCTTGCGCTGCAGGCAACGTCCGTTGGCACAGAGGTGGCCGGTGGTGCAGCTGGTGGCCGACTGCTTGCAGCCGGCCGTCTCATCGGAGCCGTCGGGGCAATCCGGTTTGCCGTCACACATAAAGTCAAGCGGCAAGCAGCTGTGATCCTGACACATGTACTCATACTGGCTGCAGTTGCGGTGTCCGAAGCTAGTCACCATTCGATGCGGGCAATGGAGCTCATCTTCGCCGCCGGGACAATTGTCGACACCATTGCATATTAGTTCCGCTGCCAGGCAGGCACCGTGTGGCTGGGCACACGGGAACCAATGCGGCTGCTGGCACAGCTTGTAGTCTGCCATCCACGGAGATATAAGATTTAGGTTAAGTTTGAGGTTAAATTCGATTTCTAGCTACCGCAATCCAATTCATCCGTGTTGTCTGTGCAATCGCTACGTCCGTCGCACATCTTCGCCTGTAAGATGCAGACTCCGTTTTTGCACTGGAACTGATCTCCATCGCAGCGTGCGTGCGTTGATCCCGTCGCGGTGGCAGAAGTCGCACCGCAAATGAGCAGCAGCACTCCACCGCACAGGCACAAAAGCCACCAGGACTGCTGCACATGGCACTGTGTTCGCACATTCTTCTCTTGGCTCAAGGCTGCGGCCCTGTTCGGACAATATCCACGTGTGCATTTGAGGTTATGTTACGCAACGAGCCCAGCTCAATTATTTGGTACTCACATTTGATTTGTGCTCTTAATCCAGCGGCTTGTGGTCTTCTTCACCGCGTATTCGTTACTCATAAATTAAACATTAACGAAACAAAATATATCAAAACGTTCAACACAAATTACTAACACAATGCAACAAGCGTGCGCAAAACTCGACGCAGACGTTAAGATGCAAAAAGCGAACTGGACGATGTTCAATTGCAAGAAAGCGCAATCGGCTTATTGTGCACCCACGCATGCCTATGCACAATTCGAAATTCGGCCAAGTTCCGTTACAGTTGGTGTGACCAGCTGTATTAACCGCTGAAATACCCATTAGAGCGCATACAAATGATAATGTTCAAATCGTTGCTTTATTTTGCAATAAGTTTTTTTTTTTTCGATGTAATTTACTAATGCATTTTTTTAATACACATGAAAATGTACTGAATTGGCGTATTTTGTTCTCTGTCGATGTAATTGACTAATGCATTAGTTTAATACATACACATGAAAATATACTGAGTTAGCATATTTTGTTCTTAGGTATAATGCAATTTTAGATGAAAACAGACATGAGCCTGAAACACGGCAGTGGCCTGGCGCAAAGGCACCTTCATGATGTGGTCCAGCAGCTTCCATGTGATCAACGGCTGAATCAAGTTGTACTTGCTTACATATGCTGGGACCTTGAGATCGAAGTCACGGGACTCCCAGTGGGACTTTAGACGCGGAACGTTAATGCGATGTGTTACAATAACGTTGTTATCCACTCTGCGAAGAGGAACGACCTTTCCATTCTTAAAGGCTATTGGAAAGTTCAATCCACCACGGCAGCGCTTTCCGCGTTTTCTACGGAAATCGAACTGCGGCTTTATGCCCGTCTTTGTCATCTTCCATTTCGCCCACAGCTTGTAAAGCTTGAACATAATTGAACAGCTGCGAAAATCAAGAATTCAGTTGAATTTTGGGATTATTATTTTGATTTTTCATAAAATGTAACACGACTTACTTGATGATTACTCAAAAACGTTTGAACGAGAAAGTTCGACGACTTAAACTGTGCCTACACGCACAACTGGCAAAAAATATTGTCGCTTCCGGTTAGTGGCAACTCTACCCGTTATATCGATTAAGATGCAAGCAATTGATATGCGCCTTTTTAGTGCCATTTTAATGCCGATATATGAAAATATGAATAGCATGCGATATATATGTAAATGAATAATGTACGATAAATCTGTTAAAATGAAGTAACATGACTACACTGGGACCCCAACATGCAGCAATTCGACTATAGCCGTTTGTGGCAACAATTAATAACGATAAGATTTATGATTGGCGACCCATATAAGACCGAAGCGTTAAACCGGCCACCGCACTATGTCATAAAACAGTAAAAAAAAAAATTTAAAAAACAAACGAAAAGCAATACCAGCATCCACTTAACACAAAACAATATCCCAAGGTAGATTTGAAAAATATATAAATTGTATAATTAAAGTAAAGGAGCGCGCGACAATGTTACGTCCCAAAACGAAGAATAGAAGAGGTGAAGTGAGTGCGGAGTGCAGGCGTGGCAGGGTCATAAAAACAATAACAAAATAAATGACAACAAAGAACATCTATCTATGGCAAGCCGACCGTGAAATACCCTTACTAGGATAGGGAAATTTAAGTAAGTGTTTACGATATTCACTTCTCTAGCTCTATTATCCTCTATATGTCTCCCTCTCTCTCTCTTTCTCTCTTCCTATGTCACCGACTAGCATTATGGATGAGTTGCATACCCAGTGAGATCTTATCTTCTGTGTTTGATACCCCTTGTGCATATACCTCTTTTAAGAGTATAGCGAAAAACCACAAAATCTAGCAATTGCATTTACGACTCTCATCCGAAATTGTCTGTTCGTCGTCGATGAGTCGTGGGATCGTGGGATTCGCTACACACTGCTAAACGCGTCGCTCAACATTTCTAAGCAGTTCAGTTGCACACTTATTGTTGTTGGTTTCGGCTATTCGGTTGTTCAGTTGTTCAGTTGTTGGGCTTGAGTAATGAGCACTGTCCGTCGACATGTTCGCAGTGCCGTAAAGGCGTTCAAATTAGTTGTAAAATCAGCCCGCACGATACATTTCATTTAATAACAGTTCGGTTGTTTTCTTTTAGCGAGAGTATATAATGCACACACGATGTCCGAATGAGCCACAGTCATCCGTCAACACCGTTCCAGTGAACTCGTACAACTCCAACTCAACGAATCCTACACATTCCGAAATGGCAAGTCCACATGAAAAGTGTGATCAGTCGGAATACCTCAGCTCATGAGATCATAAAGCATCTTGGAATAA